AGCCGCGCTACAGCCGGGGAGTCGAGAGGCACCGTCCTGTCCTGCCCGCAGCGAGGCGGCGTTGACCACGACGAAGCAGGGCTAGGCAGCTGGGAGAGCTCAGACCTCAGCATCTTTCCCTGCATTTGGGTTTGTTAGGAAGGCAGGCCTGTTGGGCATAACACAGGCCTGAGATTCAGGGCTGCAAAGGGTGCCATGGGGCACAGAGGAGCCGAGAGGCAAAAATTGAGGAGCACGCTGATAAGAGACCTTGGAATAGGAGCATAGGGAGGAACGTAGTCCCAGGCTGAGCAGTCCCCCCTTGGAGGGAGGCTGCACTTAATGCCGTGCCCAGGACTCCCGGAGCTATCCATCACGAGAAGGAGGTATGCCAGAAGCCAACAGCTCTGCGCTGATCATGCCGATGTCCAGAACATCCACGGCCTAATCCATTATATTTGTTCTAGTTTTATGGCTTGGATGAAGCAGGTCCCAAGTGCTGGAGAGTCATGGTGCAGGGAGCCAGGCCTGATGCCGGAAACCCAGCTTCTTGCTACCAGACCCTGCTAAAGCCCACCAGCCCTCTGGACACGGAGACTGGCACAGGAGATTGCTGCTCACCGAGGCAGTCAGCATCCTCCCACAGCTGGCAGGGAGGTCACGTCCTACCCAGCCTGTCTTATGCCACACCAGCACATAGTTTCCACATAGTCAGCCCCACCGGGAAGCGTTATTGTTCGAGGGCTCCCATCCATCGCTCAAAGATGGGTACCGATTCTTTCACCCAGAGTGGAGCCGGCGACATCTCCTCTCTCAGCCAGTCCCGATGTGCAATACCAAGTTTTGCAATCAAAACTTCTTTGCCCCGATTTGATGCTTCCAGGTTTGCTTTTTGGAAGATATCTGAACACTTATGGATGTCCCCTGGGAGCCAGAACATGTTGCAGCGACTCCACGAGGGAATCGGTGCGTGACCTCCGAGTCAAGTGGCTCTCAAGCACTGCAGCTAAATTTCCTTTGCTCTTGGAGTTACATGGCCAACACTGCAAGCTGAAAGGCTACACCCGCCTGGGGTACTTGGGTTTTGGTGTTTAAGGACTGTATTAAAAAGAACAAGCAAGCAAAACACTAAACCAACAGCACCGACAACTGCATCTAACTAATCGGATCAGAGCTGAACCAACAGCTCAATGGGTCTAACAATCAAGTCACCCAATTAACACCACTGGTAATCACGTTAAATCCTAACGGTGACACAAGAAAGAATGGCTGCACTGGAAAACGATTGAAAGAGCTGTCTTCTTTTAATCTCAGGACTTGTCTACTCTGGGAAGCCGTGGCAAAATAAGCCAGGGTATGACTTGAAAGTGGGAGAGCTATGCTGCACTCAGTCCCTGTACAAACGCTTTTATCCTGCGCTCCGAGTGCCTGGCTGCAATTTAACTTAATCCCCTTCCAACAAGCTATTTCACAACAGCTATTCTGGGCGACTTCCCCTTGTAGACAAGCCCCAGACCCCAAGTACAGCTCCCAGTAGAGCATGACATCAACCTCATCGTGAACCACAGGACTCTCTGTTCTGCTTAGGAGCCTTCCCTAAGGAAGATCATCGCCCGCTACAGGCGGTGAAATCATCTTGGCAGCCTTAAGGAAGTCCCCAGGCCAAGGTGAGCTGCACTTGAGCTGCGCGGTCTCGTTTCCTCCTTAAATCTCGCTGCTGCCGTTCTGGGTTTCTTTCCGACTTCCTCTCTTCCCCACAATAGCACAGAACGCATAACACCGAACGGAGGTGGCGATTACTAAACCACACACACAACAGCCGCTTTTGAACAACGCCACTTTTTGATGACAGATTTGGGGTGAGCTCTTGGGGAGCTGTTTCCCCAGCGCTGTACAGCCACATAGCCAAGTGAAAAAAGAGAAAAGGGGGAGAAGCATCCCCCACACAGGACAAGAAGAGGAGTTGGCATTTCTGCTTCATCTTCTGGCATCGTTAGCTCTCGCAAGGGCTGGTGCGAGAACGAGGTGGGGTCAGTTCCCAGCAAGGGTCTCTTGACTGCTTGCCCAAGGACAGGTGGGTCACTTCAGATGCAGGTGCCGGCCCAAGAAAATGGGCTTCTCTTCTATACGGCCCTGATCTAGATGCTTCCTGCTACTTCTAGGGTCACCTCTGGCACCAGACAGGACACGCTGGAGGTCTGGGTCTGGTCAGACTGGGCAATCTAAATTTAAGCCTTTCATGTCGTGCTGAAAAGTCCCGTCCGTGGGCAGGTCTCGCCTCCCAAGCTCTGTCGTTACAACTGCATCATGGATCTTCTCCAAAATTACAAAAAACAACAGGATGTGTCTGGAGCTCACGCCAGAAAAAACTGGTACCAGGCTTCTGCCTTGGAGGAACAGCCCCTGGGGGCCTCGCCTGCTTGTTTCTTTAAAAAAAAACCCACCAAAAAAACCCAGATGCTTTGTCCTGTCCCGCCCTGCCCCACAGACATGTTCTTATTAAAAAAAGAAAAAAAAAAATCACAACACACGTCCTGGCCTCAGGTGAAGAGATATGGGAAGCTGTCAGAGGAAGCAGATGGGGCAGGAAGGGGAGAGAGAGAGATGGGGCTGACAGTTTTGGGTTGAAAGGGGCAGTCGCAAAGTGACACCTGGAAATATAAGAGCAGCTCTGTCTCCATCAGGATAAATCCTGCTGGATACCAGGCGATCCAAGCTTTCCCAGGCCCAACTGCAACACCAGCCTGCATCCCTCACCCTCCCCTCTCTTGGAGGCTCCTGCTACCCAGAACACCCAGGCTATTGTGGGCCCGAGGCCGCCCCTCCTCCCTGGGACGTCAGGCGCAGTTATTTCAGTCCAGGAGGTATGCAAGTTCAACCGTTACTGCAAGCGCCGGCCAGCGACTCCGCGCAGCTCCAGAGCAGAGCGGCAGCAGTAAGCCCGGGCCGTCACCGTTTTCATAATCCAGCAGCCCCTCATGCTCAGCACCCAGCTCCAATCTAGGATATCCCCGTGGAGGATTACAGACCCCCCTGGCCAGGTACAACGCTGTTCACTCGACACCGGAGCAACACTTCTGCAAAGAGCTAAATCACTTGCCACCAGCAAGAGAAAGCGGGACATGATTTTTTCGACGTATCTGAAATCAACTGGGGCAAAAGGGAAAGGTGAACTGGATTTTTCCATGCCCGACTGGGGCAGGCCTGGCAGCAACAAGCTCGCTATTGTCCAAAGCAGGCTGGCAGGGGTGCCAAGGCCTCCTTTAAAGGGCCAACTAAATAAAACTCTGAAAACCAAGTCTGGGCAGTGTGTGCCAAGCAGCTGTTGTGAAAACACAAGCTCCCCCCACACCCCCCATCACCATCTTCTGGATTGGTTTCAGAACTTGCAAATGTGATTTACAACTCGGCAGCTCTGCAGACGACGCCTGTTCGCCTCGCGGGAAGGCTTCAGGTAGTCCCACTGGGCCAAGCAGCAGACAGGCAGATCCAGCGACAGGCCTGGCCTGCCCCTTTTGCTCCATCCCCTCCAGCTTTGCCCATGCCCGATCCCAGACTGCTGTCCCCCCCCTTCCCCAAGCACTCAAACCCTCCTGGAGCGCATCCAGGCTCTGCCGACTCACTCTTGTTCCTCTGCCTGGGCAAACTAGAATGGAAAAGCTACTTGCCTACAGCTCAAGAGAGGCTGGGAAACTGCACCTTGTGGCAGCCAGCGAGGAGCTCAGCCCAGCGCAAAGCTGCAAGTGGGGAACGTACGACCAAAAGCAAGGAGGTAAGGCAGCGAGCGGGTGGGAACACGGCAGGAGGCTGGTGCCAGCAGCTGATGCCATCACCACGCCAAGGAGACAGCGTTCTTCGGGCTTCAAGCCCCCCACCGGCCCCTCACCGTCTACTATCGCCAAGGCAGCTGCTGGGCTCCCCGTGCCGCGCATCCAGCACAGAACCAAGCTGCACAAAGGCCCCGTTGTCAGACCTACAGAGGCGAGCGAAACGGTGGATTGACGCAGCTCTACGAGACGGCGACGATGAGCTGCGGGCTCTCGACTCGCCAAGTGCACCATGGCCAGCCGCCACGGGGAAGAGGGCTGGGAAGTAACCACGTGCCCAGCCCTTCCAGATTTCCTTCGGGAGGACACAGGTCTACCATGGCCCTGGAGATTGGAGCCTTGTCTCTGGCAGTGGCCTCTGTTTCCGGACAAGCAGAGCACTGCGGACCCAACGCCCAGAAAGGGTCCAGTTTCACACTCTTGGTTCGTGCCTCCAGGTCCTGGACCTGACTCTCCCCCTTCCTTCCTTCAGTCCACTCAGAAGGCACTTACCCCCCAGCCCTGACAAGTGGCTCTAGCACGGTCTCTAGGTCAGAGAAGCAACATCTGGCCTGCTCTGCCGTCGCCAGCAGGTACCGATCTACCTTGGTGGCAACTCCCAGCCCAAGGGAGAACGTCGTTTCCTTCTTACTGAGCCTTTCTAAACTCAGGCAGGACACAGCCTCCCTCCTGTAATCCAAGAAGATTACCAGCACATAATTGCCTCCCAATTAGGTTTATTTTTAGCCTGGTGTTTCCCCACTACAGGAGCTGCGTGCAGTTAAGTGACATGTCAGTGCGCTGCATACCTGACCGAGAGCCCGGCAAGCACAGCCAGCAGCCGCCCCTGCTAGCTCAGGCCAGACTCAAATCTCCAGGCAGGGGAGCAGCTGTCTGCTGGCAGAAGCGCAGGATGTAAGGGGACACGTGCAGCCCTGAAGCCCCATGGAAATCAGGGTGCTCGTATGCACCCATGCACAGCTACTGATGCCTCCATCTGTGGCAGCACCCAGCCCCGGCATGGGGAAAACAGGGTGGCTTTGATGCCCTGCATAGAGCCCCTCCAGGAAGGCAGGCTCCCGGCTTCCCCAGGCCACACCTGCTAGACATGCCTTGTCTAGCTCAGCTCTGCCATGGGCAGGCCATGCCATTTCCACATCCCCCTGCACAGGGCGGCAGACACCGTGCCCCCCACCACCACCGCGACGTCCCTACCTTTGTCTGGGCACTGGGATGTAGGCGGATTGAGGTGGAGGGCTCTGCTCCAAGTCCAGGCCAAGGAGCCTCAGCACTGCCTCCTTGTCCGACCCCTCCAGCAAGCTGGGAGCTGCGGCGGGCGGCCCCGGGCGCTCCTCCACTTTCCTGCCGTTCAGCACCAATGGGTCCGTCAGGTGTCTCAGCCGCCCGTTGGCTGGTTCGGCTGTTTCCAGCAGCCCTTGGCCATTAAAACGGAGAGGACTCTGTAGGCGAGACCCGGAGAAGAGCTCTTAGCGTGGGGGTAGAGATGCAAGCGGAGGCCGGGGGGTTATGAAACTTTAGGGCACAGCATAGCAGCACCCGGTGCCCAAGATAGCACAGGCACTGGAGCCTCCCTCCAGGGTCACTCCCTAAGCACAGGCTATGATACGGCTCTGCTCACAGATGCTTCTTCTGGACTAAAACTCAGGGGCTGCAATTCTCACGCAGAGAAACCCTGGGCTACCAAAACCTCCAGGACATTGCAAATCAGCAGTGCCTCGCAGCCACTCTGCAACCAACGCACAGCACTGCTCCATCCTTGCCCTTACAAGCATGGCTGCTTCCAAACAGCCCCTCCTGCAGCCCGAAATCCGTCCCCTCCAACAAATTCGACCGAGGAGGGACTCAGGCACGCAGGACCCACGCAGCCGTCCCATCTGACCTGACACAAGCGGCCTGTGGGAAGCTTGCCACGGCTGCGGCTCCAGCCCATCAGGGCCATCTCGCTGGCACTTTGCAGCAGGGCTGACTTGTGCACCTTTCCCTTGTTAAAGCAAGAAAAACAAACCCCCAAACCTCAAGCTTTGTCTTGTTCACACATGCTGGATGGGAGGTCTGCGGTCCCCGTCTGGGGTAGTCACGCCATGCTGCTTTCACACCTCCGCACTGCACAGCCTCCCCCCTTCAGAGCAGCGCCCGGGCAAACAGGGGAGCAGCCAAGCGTACAGGACCTTTGCTTTATCTTACACAAACAGAGCAGGTGCAGACAAAGGCAACCACAGGGATCGCTCTGGCTCGAACCAGAACCTCTAGCAATTTGTCAAGAGCCCCTCTGAGCTCTCCTTCTGCCCCATTCAGGGAACGCTTGCAGCGGCTCACGGACATCACCGAGGCCAGCTCTCGCCTTGCACGCTCAGGCGCTGCCTGCCCCAGCCCTGAGCTCAGCGTGGGCTCCGCGCTCAATGTGCTCAGCAGGTTATGCTGCCTGCCGCTCTCCGTGCCCGAGCCACCCAGCTGGGGAGCCGACGCAGGCGGGCATCCACGAGCTGCCGTCGCAGAAGCGACTACAGCGGAGACGTCCCTGCTTCTGCAGGGCAGCACTTACCGCGCCGTGGGACTGCACCCAGGGCACCGGGGAAGAGAGGCTTGCAGAATTCGGCCAGCAGCTAGATGGAGCACGCTCACCAAGAGCAGGAGGGGGAAGGACGCTATCTGCACGGACTGCCTACAAATAGCTGAGCCCGCCAGAAAGGAAGTGGCACAGAACAGCACCCATCTGCTCCGGACATCGGTTCTCAACCTTTCCAGGCTCGAGGACCCCCCTTGGAAAATGTCTTTGTTGTCACTTGGGGGAGTTGAGAGAGATTCTCCTGTTGCAGAGACCTCCGAAAACCCGCAACAGGTCCAAACTGGAGTCCTGGCTGAAATCCCTGGGTTTATCTCGCGAATCACGTTCGCACACATGGCCGGGCTCACGTGGCGCGGCACCCTCGAAAGGATCTCGAGGCACCCTGGCTGAGAGCCACCGGCTTCGGGGCACGGGCGCCAAGCGCTCCCAGCACAAACGCGAGAGGTCCCATCTGCGCCGCGGCAGCTTTCTAGTTTCAGATCAGCTCCCACCGTGGGCTGACACTAGCAGGCCGGCACGCAGAGAGGCATGGCAGCCTCCAAGGATGGGCCGCGCCTACCCAAGCCCCTGGGGAGAGCGCTCTCTTCCCACCGCCTCGTGCTGGGGAGGTCGGAGCCGGCCAAGACCCCGTGCAGCCGGGCTGGGGACGCGCACTCGAGGCAGGGCGGAGGAGATGCACCTTGCAGGCTCCCGGTGTAGGCGCGGGGAGGGCGTGCAGTCCAAGGTGCACCACGGCTGCCCACCTGGCTCCGCTCAAACGCGGCCGGGGACGGCGGGGACAGGACC